CATGGTTAGCAGTTCAAAACCACCAGCAGCTCTGGGGGATAAAGACTGGGCTTTCTACTCCTATAAACAGTTACAGTCTCCGAACCCCACAGGGAGGTTTCTATGTATGGCTCAGCATTGACTCAATGGCACTGAGTGTGGTTTGGTTTGATTTTTACTATAAAAATACAAGTATTATTATATCTTTAGTTGTGTGTCATTTCGTTTTTTATATTAAAAATAATAAAAGTAATGTTCCTTTCTTCCTCAAATCACCAAATATTTCTAGAGTCAGTAAACTTATGTAGGAATGTATTGAAAGGAAAGTCAGTAGCATTTTAACACATCTTTCCTTGTTAACATCTACTCAACCCTTTTTGCCTTGAGCTTGAACTTAGAGACTATTCAGCATCTGGTTGGTAATTAAGTACAGATATTTGATCCAGATGTTACTCAGTCAGAAGTTTTGCCTCACCCTGCCATAGACAAACTCTCTTCATTAAGGAGCTAAGTGATCAAAAAGGCTACAATGACCTTTTTTAGAACTCAGAGGAGAGTGGAGTAAAGAGGCTTTCCTCCAGCCAGTGTATCCATGTCCTCTGGAGATGGCCAGGCGCTTCTGCCACCGTTCCTGCATGGTTCTACCCCATAAGCTCTCTGAAGCCAGGTGATGGCACAGGGTACTCTTGGACAATTGAGGGTGTATTCAGCTGAGTTTTAATTCATCTACCTAGCTCAATAGCACTTAAAGTCTCAGCAAGGCCAAGGTTTGACCTCAGGAGACCTTAGTGCGTCTGCCACTAACACAGTCTAACCTTGGACAAGTCACTGAAACCATCTGAGCTTCAGTATCCCTATACATGAAAAAGACGGCAACGATAGTGGGCCTGCCAATCCTCCTGGAATGGATCAGAAAATGCAGTGTGATCACATATGTATAGGGAATGTGTATGGACAACAAAGCGCTACAGAGCTATAGGTTATTTCTCTCTATTTCTGCTCTCTGTAGCTTATGTAGCAGATTCCTTTCCAAGAAAAAGATGATTACACAAGATGGTCTGTTTTTCAAGGGATTTTCTTCTTCTGTTTTTAGATTTTAGACATAGAGCATATATAACCATATCTGAAGGGGATCATTTCTTATCATTTCTACGTAAACTCCCATGTTTTAGTGGAAGCCCTTGATGCAGAGTAATGTGGAGCTCTGTGCTCATGACTGTCCCCCATCATGTCTATCTCCATGGTAGAAGAGTCCCCCGCAGTGACTGTCTTTCAGGAATATTCTCTGGCCCTTTCCAGTTTTAGGGGTGATGTGTAAAAACCAGAAATGATGTGAATGATGGTTGATACTTGGGGCTTGAGGATCCTTTGATAATGTGAGCCAATGGCCCTGAGGAGATCTTGAGCCATCTTCTCCTCAGCTGCACAATGGGAATGGGAATGGTATTTGATTTTAGGGCTATGGACCAATTCCATGAGGCAAAGGCTGGAAGGAATAACACACAGTACAGCTGGCCTTCGACTCCTATTTGAACCACCAATCGCTTAGTTAATAGACCAGCATGTAGTCACCCACACTGGTTAGCAACTCCTTTAATGATGCATGAGGAATTAGAATGAACTTTTGATATCTTTTGTATTTTTTTTGAAGTCCTCTTCAATATTTCTAATAATCTTACTTCTTCATCCCCCTTCGTTTCTTTTTGCTTTTGGTTTCTGATTGGGAATAAATATGATTGTGTTGCACTCCTGGTATATGCAGTTACGGAACAATTTAATACAAAATGAACATTGAACTAAGAGCTATGAGAAGCTGCCTGACTGTTCATGCAGCCCTACAAGTCCAAAGAGCGAGATGTAGACTATTTTTAAATGTCCTCTCCTGTGCTTCAGGCTCCTTGGTGCCACAGAGAACATGAAAGAAGCCGAGTTACAATCACTTTGTGCAAATTGCCTGTTGAATTCTAAGGACAGGAACCGGTGGTGGGGGGTCGGGTGGGGGGAGTGTAGCACACTCCTCCCCCCGGACATTCTTCCCAACATGTAAAATAAACAAACAGACCCCAAATGGAAACCAAAAACTCCTGGTCCTATGCTGAAGGGGGCCACGGCTGAGGTGTAGAAGTGCTGGGAAAAACCCTTCAAAGGGGGTGCAATTGGTCCTTAGTGAAAAGACGCCTTGGTTTGAATGAGAGAGACTGCTTTTAACCTGAGTAATCTCTATGCCACGTGCTCACACTAGAGGGGCCCTGGGGACACAGTGCTTACACATCAGACTGCTCACCAAAACGCTAACAGTTGGAAATGACCTTGGGAGAGAGGTGAGGCTTACAACTCCTATAAAGAGTTACAATCTTGGAAACCCAAAGGGGCATTTCTATTTTGACCGATAGTGTCACTGTGAATCAGAAATGACTTGATGGCAATGAGTTTGATTGGGGTTTGGAACCCACACTGAAAATGAGGGACTCTTGCTAGAGGCCTGCACTTCTCCACTGTCAGCAGGAACACTGCTCCCCTGGGTAGGTTGAGGGTCAGAATCCATCCCATGGCAGTGGGCTTGGTTTTGTGTAGCCTGTTGCTACCTAGTCTCTGGGTGGTGCCATTGAAGAAAGGCTTACTGATCCATTTTTGTTGTCTCTTACGGAGGAAAGCCGTATGGGACTCAGTTCTGCTTTGTAACGCAGAGGGTTGCCATGAGTTAGAACGGACTCGAGGACAACCAAGTTTTTTAATATACCCCCTACCCCGCCCCCACACACACACACATACTTTGGGTATCTTTTTAGGCTGTAGACAGGTATACAGTAGGTAGGTGATGCTGGAGATTCGGTAATTATCATAAGCTCCCAAATAACGTGGATACTTCTGGACTTTGGGCCATAGTTGATTTTCAATCACCTTCATCAACAATGAAAATAATTAGTTGTAG